TCAAAAACTTCACATCTTGTGTTTATTTTATTCACTCCTCTTTTTGCTCCTGATTATTGAATGTAGCACCTTGATCTCACCCTTTCCCCTGTGACCCTCCCCTACCTGGTAGAAGGCTCTGATGTGTCGATTTAAAATAGAAAAGTTCTGGACCCTCAGCATGTGATCTTCTCTGTCGCTGCCGTACAGCCGCTCCACCTTGGGGTTTGGGTCTCTGAGACAAACACAGAAATACACAACAGCGTATTTAGTGGAGCTCGATCAAACAGCCCAGCAAAACATCTCTTCAGATGAGAAATCCTCATGCAACGGCGCATTTAAACAGAGTGAATACAATTTTAATGAGCCAGGGAAGCAGGCTGTGAAACTCCACATGCAATTATTTGTTGAAATAACGTAGCTTGGGACAGGCCAAATTAGTCAGCTGTTCGGCAAATACAGATAAAGGTCTTTTATCTGCTGAAAGAGAAAAAGGTTTTATTGAGCTGTAGATAAGGAATTCAGTGGCACTTACTAATAATAGGATGGCATGTATGCAGAACCTCCATTCATGATTAGCCTGACATTTGTGGCAAACATGAATTGGTCCTACTTTTATGGCATCACAGGTTGCAGAACAGTGCATGGTTAGAAAAGATGAATGTAACATCAAATGTTATGCAAGAGCATACAGCTGAGCTAAGAGTCTACAGCTGTGTGCTCTGTGAGCCTGTAATAAGCTAAAGGCCAATGCTAGCATGCTAACAACAACAACACACTGATGTTTAGAACGTTTGCCATGTTCTTCATCTTAGTTTAGCATGTTTACTAGCTAAACTTGCTAGTGAGCAATAAACACAAACCACTGTGCTTTTTTTTTTGCAGGTATTTGCTAATAAAACAAATTAAACAAATTTGAATTGAAATGTTGGCATGATAATGGTTCTCCTAAAAATGATAACAATATATCCTGACAGCTATGACTGTGTCTAGAAAGTTCCGTGCCAATCCATCCAGAACATACATTTTATTGTCATGATGGCACCAGATGAAAACCAATGCATCACCAAACTCATAGGACTCATTCTCTGAGGAACATGAATGTGTCTGTGCAACGTTTCATGGCAATCCATCCAATAGTTGTTGAGTTGTCAACATCCCTATTAAAAAGCAAGTGAAATTAGTTATTTCTTATGTTGTTATATAGTTTTCCCGATATTGGATTTGTGTTTAATTGAAAATGTATTTGAGGGCCCATTTCTACATTTTGTAACTAAAAATAAAAACCCTTTTTTTGTTTTTTATCTTTAAGGATACTCGAGAATATGAATATTTTCAGTTTTTCTCTTTATGTTCCACAAATGGCTGAAAATGAACACTTCAGATTATTTTATTTGTATTATCTCAGAACAGTTCAAATGGGCCTTTTATTTGTATTATTGACAGGGAAATATCCTCCAATGTTTATGAAATTAGTTTGCGTCTAGTATGGCTGTAAAGCAATTAAACAAGAAAATCCTATTCAATCTTACATGACCCTCATGATCTCATTGAGGAAAATCCCATTGGTCAGCCTCATGTAACGATCCCGGGCACTCTGAGAACTTGAGTTTACTTCCATGTACTGGCTGTAGAGCGGGACGCCATCCTCCGTCTCCACCATCTTCTCAAACAACTGAACCTGGGAAAGACAGAGATTAATTATTATTTCGGTTTGTGTGTAGGCCTATGTGTGTGCGGAGAAAACTATGGTCTGTGGAGTGCTTAGCTGGACAAATACAAGAAAGACCGAGTCAGGAGCAGAGAGAAGGTACAGAGAGAGAGAGAGAGAGAGAGAGAGAGAGAGAGAGAGAGAGAGAGAGATGGGGAGAGATGCAAGCATTTTCAAACCGAAAGCTGCTTGAGTAGCACCTGTCTGGACAGGTGGGATCTGTGCTCTCACACTGGGAAGCACTTCACAGTGACAGCCAGCCAAGCAGAACAGCAGCCAAGGTCTCTCTCTCTGCTAAGAAGAGCTGTGCCAATGCAAACTGCAGTATAATGAGGTGTATTCCCACCTGCACCTTCTAAAAACTGCACTGTTGGTAAACAAGAGTTACAAGCTGAAGTAGGTTCAGCTGATAAGGTGAGGCAGAGCATCTCGAGACCCTGAGCGCACGACAGGGTAAACAGAGCGGCAGGGTAACATACAGCGGGTGATGCCCTTCAACATATGTGAAGCAGGGTGAAAGCACTCGTGTCAGTGAATGACGGCACAGTGCCCCTGAGCAAAAACTAAACCTCTGCCAGCTGCAGGCATCCTGCCTACCTGACCTCTGACCCCCTCTTTGGAGTCTGGCAAAAATAAAGAGAGTATCCCTACAAGGTTCAGCACATTATCACATTATATCCTAAATACTGTTCATTGACCAGAATGTGAAAAACCCCTTGGGCTGATTGGTTTCCCATGTGGAAAGCCCAGCTGGAAATCCAGTCTGTGACAAATGTCCTCTGCTGATTTTTGTGAGTCCGTTTCCTCTTGAATACACAGTAGATAACTTTGTTTTATTTTCAAATAAGAAACAGCCCAAGGACACGGAAGTGTCATGGCTTTCGGAGAAAAATAAAAGCTGGTCGTTAAGAGGCAGGGGAAGCTGCCAAAAGGAGAAGTAGGCTGTTTGTTTTGCTGTACACAACAGCCAGAAAGCAGTATCCAGGCTATTTTTCTACAGCTATTCAACTCCTACATTTATATTTATTTGGGTGAATAGAACTGGAGAGCAGAGTGCTTTAAAAGATACAATGTTATAAATATATTGTGACTTGATGTTTTATTGCATTACTGGTTATTGTCAAAGGCGGATTTCTGAACAGTTTCCACACAATCCTCCTGTTTAATTCTCCTCTCACTGCCTCTTGAAATCATGACCTTTTCTATACGCGATAAATGATAAATGACGTACCCATTGCGCCAACGCACTTTCCATGAATTCCTCTATTATCTCCATAATGTTTGAGTCCATTGTTGTGTTTCGAGAGCCGTGAAGTACTACAGAGGATAGCTAATTAAAAAACTATCACAATGAGTATAAAATTGATGAGAGAGAAATACAATCCATCTTGCGTCAAGTGAAGTAGTTTGACATTTCTGCGGCCCTTCCCCTCCCTCGCTTCTCTTCCTCTCTGACTGTGTGACAGTTTCATTGCAAAACCACACCGGAATTTTCAAAACGCACATGTTGCTTTTTTTTTGACGACATCCTTACACGCCCTCCACACACCGATCTATATTTAAATACACAATATGACTAAAGCATACAACAACTACTAACCTGCATTGTGTGCAGATAGATATTTTTTTATTTGGACGCTGTGGAGAGTTGGGCCTATGTCCTGTTGTGCGATTGAAACACCATGACAACAAGCCTTATTATTTATCCAAGAGATAAAACTTGAATGAATGTCATTTCTATGTACACACGGCTTAACTGTTTCTCCTCAATAATTCCGTGGTTTTCAGGTGAAAATGACTTAGGCTTCGAATTACCTTTAAGTTGTCAGAGCTGTAGTGTACTAGTTGCCATGGTCATGTCTACACAAATACAGATTTCAGCATTGTGCAATAGCGAGCTCTGGTGGTCTGAAATAAAAGTTCCTAATTTTTTTAAATGGTGCATTACATCATTATTTCCATAACAATATCTCTGGGGGGAAGTGTAACCAAGCAGCCCTACTTTTATTTAGGTGCTGCACATCCTGTACAGCGAACACTATTTTAGGAAATTATGTCTTTTTCTGCAGCAAAGTATATGTCATTTTGCAAAGAGTTATTTTAGCTGTGTTGTGATATCTAACCAGGTAGTTTATAGATGTATATCATGTTTGTGGTATGTGTACACAATAGAAGTTATCTTTTACTTAATTACTGGGAATCTTACATTAGTATGAACTGACTTTGAAAACATGTTTGTGTATTCACTGAATTATTGATTTCTATTTTCCATTTGCAAATGTACTATGCTTTTGATAATCTTAAAAAAAACAGTAGCTAACCTTGTATCTCTCATTTTGCTTCTGGGATATTTATAATATCATAATTAAAGTAATATTTCTGAAAGACATGACCAAGCCTGAAGCCACACTTTCATCCTCACTTCTTAATCTGCTAGTTATGAATAAAACATTCAGAGACCTTACTCTGTGATATGATTTTATTTAAGAAGAATGAGCAAACATTGGATGGCAATGGCAGACCACAATGATTCCTAATTTGCTAATAAAAAGCATTTAAAAACTGTTTTACTTCATAAAATGTCTTCCAACATGTTGTATCAGTGTGTCGTTCCTGTCCCTGTATGACAGTGTGTTCATGTGTGCTGCTGTGTGTGCAAATATCGCTTGTGCAGCAGTTCTTGGATTAACCACACCGGGATTATCAGATTGATGAGCTGCCAGAATAGACAAGATGACAGCTTATAGTACACCACACTCACTAACGCATATACACACAAACACACTTACACACACTTAATCCGACTCTCCTTGCTGAACTCAGATAACCCATACTCAGGGGAATTCACTTTCGGAAGCCGACACAAAGCAGTTAAAAACTTCTACCTTTAATAAATAATTAATGTGCCATTTTAACAGGTTCCTAAGACTTTCATTGCAGTTAAGTAGTTAGCAGTCGAAACTTGTTAGATATATCTGTGAACTCTACATCCACTTAAACTGATTGCATCCTCTTCTAGGTACAACTTAAAGAACTATACATCTCCTGAACAGATTATTCATTGGCTACACATTCATGAGTCCTGCAGAGGAGATGTTCGTTTCTGTGCAGCGCCTGATAACACTCTTTTTGTTGTCTTTTTTTGGCCTTGTTTGAGAGAGTTGCTACTGCTGCAATGGTGGTGTGTAAATCAAGCCTAACGTGTCAAAACCCCACACGTGTTGTAACCACTATCTTCCAACTCACACATCCAAGAAACCTCAAACACATCCCTTCCTCCTCAGTTCATATTTAAAAACAAAAATCCCCTCTAACTGGCAGGAGTTGGGGACGCTTCCTTCTCCGCTTTCTCTAAGTCTGCATCCTCAGATGACCCTTCGGTGGCGATGGGGTCATCCAGCCAAAACTGTAGCATGATGAGAGCTTTGACTTTGAGGTCCTCCATGGTTTCCTTAACACCTTTCTCCAGGAGGAAACCATCACTCTCGCCCTCTGGGTCCTCCAGAGCCATGATTCCTTCCACCGAAGTCTGCAGGTACCGCATGCCCAGAATCACTGACATCTGGAGAGAAAGAAACAATCAAAAAAAAAGTAATTTGCCCCCTAATGAAATGGTCAAATGGTTTTATAGTATCACATAAACTGAGGTCCTTAGAACCAACATGGTCATTTCAATTTCTGTTTGGCTGCATGATTGCCAGCATGAAGATGATATAGTGTAAACTTGAATCTGTATTAAACAATATTCAAACTTGTTTTGAATAATGAATTAGTCTGACCTATTTGGCAGGGAAAAATGGGGTCTTTTAAATTGTTCTCATTTCAAATGTATATTATATTACAGGACTGATAATCCATTAACGTTTTAAGGTTAAATGTTAATGCTAAATCAAGAGTACTCTATCTTGTAAAAAGTGAAACATATGGTCTAACAAGCCTTCCCTACTCACGCTCATACAATACCTTAAACAAAGTTGGTTCACATTCCCAAAGCTTTGACAGTAAACACTTCTGTGGACTAACTAAAGCAAAAAATAAATATGATGTCCTGTACAACATACTAAGTGTTAGGACATTCTTCTTCTTCCCTCTTTGTTTGATCTCAGGGCCACATGTTTCAAATAAGTTTTAGTTTTGTTCTTGGAAATCATTATCAGACATTATCTACAGCTCAGGTTGAGGCCTCATTAGCGAGGTTGTGTGTAATGATGCAAACCATGTTGTCCTGTTCCAGCCCGAGGCCCTGTTTGTTATTTTCAAATCTGGGGCAGCAGCAGGAGTGCAAACGCAGTGATTGTATGAGCCATGTGAGCATGTAGAGACATGGAGTGCATCTGTCTGCATCAGCGTGACGCCTGTGTGTGTGTGTGTGTGTGTGTGTGTGTGTGTGTGTGTGTGTGTGTGTGTGTGTGTGTGTGTCTGTCTGTCTGTCTGTGTGTCTGTGTGTGTGTGTGTGTGAGCAAACAGTCGCCTCACAGTCCTGTGTCTTGAATACAATGTTCTGTCTCAATTCTTTGAAGAATAAATGAAGTGCATCATCATGTTTCCCACCTGTATCAGGATGACTGACAGCACACCTGGACCGGTTGAGTTCATCAGCTCCATGTAGTAGTCGGTCAGAGCCTGCCTGCAGCCACGGCTGTACAGGTTGAGTTCTTCGGATTGGTACTCGTAGTTGAAGTGGGCATTGTTGTCCGTCAGGGTGTAGCGCAGGCAGGGGCGAGGGGAGGAGGGGTTACAGCAGCTGAACGGAACGCCATCCAACAGGTAACGGCCGTCCACGTTGCTCCGGATACGACTGAAGACAGAGGAGGGAGGCACAGTGAGGAAACAGATTAGAAAACAACATAAATACGAGAAGACGAGTACATGAAGAAAGATAGTTAAAGGCCTGACTTTCAGCTCAATGCACACTTCACATTAGGGAGGAATGAGCAGTGCAGGTGTCATCAAGCCATAACCTTTCTGTTGACTCGTTCCTTTTCACTTACTTCATCTTTGACCAACCTTTCTCCGCTTGCTTCATGGCAAACCTTTTCATCCATTTATGTCATTCTCTTCAAAAGTAAAGGTCAGCTCTATTTTTAATGCACTCTACCTGCACACCATTTTGTTTGTCCCCCATCCCCTCTGTAACAGAATGTTTGACCTTTTGGATGTGAAGTCTACTAATCCTTCATTCATCTAAATGTATTGTTTCTTTCATGATTATCACTCATCCTTCAAGTTTGTTTTTCTTTCAACCTCTTGCCTCCCTGCATCTCATAACTTTCTGCTCCCTGTGATCCACTCACTCCTTGACGTCCTTGGAGGTGAAGTTCAGGTATCTGCTGCTGACCCACTGAACTTCAAACCAGTCCTTGAAGTTGTTGTTTCCACAACAGCGAAACTCCATCTGCAGACGATCAATGGTTTCTTTCTGGTAACAACGGCCCGGCACGTCTGTGTCCTTGTAGAAGCGAATGCCATTCCTCAGGCCCACCTGACAGTGGATAGATTGTATAGAGAAAAAAGAAGGAGCTTGTGTCACGCCACTGTATTTCAGACATGCTGTTTTCTTTTCTATACACTTATGATATGTTCAGTCAAATGTGAAACCTACTACTACTACTACTATTTAAATAATTAATTGACAACCTCCAAAGATTTTAAACCTCATTTTGAGTTGATGGATCAATGCAAGAGTGATCGCTTTTGCATTCACCGTTATACAATATGGTTAATGTTTTCTCAAATATTGATACATTTGGTTTGTAAGATTTTGTTTCCTTTTCTTTAATTATCTACATCCATCTTTTAAATCGTTATCTGCCTTTATTGCTCTCTTTGCATGAATGTGAGAAAACCTTTTTTCTGCAGCTGAAACTCTTTAATCTGTATCTTTCAGCCACAGCAGCTGAGGTTGAAACCAGTTTTGAGACTTTCTAACAAGTGCATACTGACACCCACTCTCCCCATTGACCTGTCCCCCTCCAGTGACCCACCTTCAGGGACTCCTCCAGGCGTCCCTGCAGGGCGAAGCTGAGCGCCACGACAGAGATCAGCAGACAACAGAGCACTGCAGCTACAGCAAACCAACCCAGCAGGAGAACTTTCCAACGAGGGAAGCGGGTTGCATCTAATGAGTCTTGACACACACAACCGGCAACCCAGTTGGTGCCGATGGAGGCCAGGCCCACTATAATGAGGATGTTGGGCACCACGTGGATCTCTGTGTTGTCCATCACCTCAAGAAAGAAGAAAACAGTTGGAGATAATTACATACAAGAGCAGCAGCCAACTGCAGGTCACTTCATTTCCTCCACACACTTTAGCAGATAATAATCCTGCTTTCAATTAGCCTTATCTATTCTGAAAAGATGACCTTGGCACCCAAGAGATTCAATTAGGTGCTGATATACTGGATCGAAGGCTACTATGGCAATATGATGACACATTTTGATTAATTACCCTGGCTACAGCAAAAGTCAAATATAGACGGAGTTTATCATTGGCTGAGCTTTTTGGGGCCTGTCAGCGATAAAGCACCTTTGCCCCATTGTTGTTTTTAAATTACCATTAAATTACTCAGGCCAATACTGACACTATTCAACACAATCAGTATGTAACATCTATCCAGCAATATGTGAGTTACAGATGAAAACTATGTGATTTTGCATGCAGAATACTCTACACACAATCTGTCTAAACGTTATATTAGTCTTACATATATAAAAAGGGTTAAGCTCTTGTGAATCATTCTGTAAGATTCTTTCTGACATTATTGCTCTCATCTAAGCCATGTCGACAATAACTCAATAACATTTGCTACACAACTAACTGGTTGTGTGTTCATTGCCTGCGGGTTTCCTTTGCAACCTACAGGATGTCAATGCAGGCAACCTATCCAAATCAATTTGGTCAATCTAGCCCGATGACTAACATGTCGAAGACATGACCTTCACCTACGGGTCCGTTAACAGTTAACTAACTTCAATACACATCGAGCGCCATTGACTTTGGGAACAAATCATTTTCATAAGAGCTTTTTAACACCCAACGTGCTCACAACTTAACATGCATGAGTGTGCATGAGTGTCACTGTTTGAATGTTTACACAAGTAGTGTGTGTGCTGCGTGTTTGTATTGTGGATTAAACTCTAGAGCTAAGTTTAAATAAAAGTCACTGATAAGCGGCAGCACAGCAGACTCAGTAAACAACAAAAAGGTCTGAAAATATAAACATATGTTTGTATAACTTTGAATAAATTCATGCTATAGTTTTTAAACGTGGCTTTCTTGTTTTTAAGTTGACATTGGATTATTTGTGTGGATATGAGTATATTGCCCTCTCTACCTCGTCTCTGCGTAGAAGCTCCATCTTAAGATAAACACCCAGACAAAAGATGATGGCCCCCCATATCACCGCCGTCCAGGACAGCAGCCACAGACCCTGGGCCAGATGCACCCGCCGCTGCTGGGTGAACTTTATCTTCAACAGCAACATAGCTCACTACCATGCAATAATCAACACAAAGACAGGAGAGAAAAGTAGGGAGTTCCTGCAATGATGGTCAAAAGATGAGTATCATACAGAAGAGAACAGCTGCATGAAGAGTCAAATCAAACAGCGGAGGTAGTTTTCTATGTTGAAGAAACACAGCGGTCAATGCAGGTCTGTCTTCATTATTTGGTGAGTTATTATAAGGTTGAGCTCATCTTAGTTATTCCTGGATTAGCAGGTAAATCCCTAAAATGGTAAAGGGCACAATCAACCTTGGAAGATAATCCAAAAGTTTTTCTTCGGATGCTGAAATTGTCCCAAAAGATGATATAATCAAAATCAGGTCAACTAAAAACTAAAAAGAAAAGGGATATAATTGTCAAATAATGAAGGATAGAATGAGTTATTCCTTTTTCCAGAGATGAAAAATGTTCCTGCGTAGCTTTCACATTGCTGAGTTTCCCCTTCAAGCTGATTTCTTCTTCTTGACTTGATGTTGCTTTTGATGGCGCCCCTCAAGGACCCCCTAAACCGCTGTTCCCATGACTGGAGGACACAGAAACTGGCCAAAGTTGAGAGTTTGGAGCCATAATCCCCCTAACGGAGTCTCTTGAATCCTATTAAAGTCCAGGGGCCAATAGGAAAACAGGTCAGTGTCTGATCAGCAAACTTGTCCTGATAGACACAAAGTATGGGACTGTTGTTACCTGAATCCCTTCCGCACAAGCTGGACTCTATGGATGCCTCAGGGACAGAATGGATATTATAGCTGAGGCTAAATGGAGGAAATATAATTAAATCTGGGAGTGTGGGAAAATGAGAATCAAATCTAATTCACTGTGAGCATTACTGAATGTTTTGTATTGTGTAATGAGGTAAATGTATGCAGTAAGAACAGAGACGGATTAATTCAAACGGGCCCAAAAGTCCCAGGTTTGACATCAAACACTGGAAAATGTTCAGTGTGGGAAGAAGTACTCAGATAATTTACCTAAAGGGATAGTGCACCATCAAATCATGAACACATATCTTTCCTCCTGTAGTGTTATTTATCAATCTAGATGTTTTGGTGTGAATTACAGTGTTGGAGTTATTGGTCAGAGATGTCTGCCTTCCCTCTGATATGAACAAACAAGATGTTACTTGGTTTGTGGTACTCAGAGGGCAAACATATACATTTTAATCCACAGACTGTGTTGTGAGCAGTATCATGTATTCTCCTATTAACACCCAACTGAATATAACTTGATGACTAAATTACGAGAAAGCTCACATATACGTGATATAAATATATGATTCACGACCTTGAGAGAGAGAGATTTATTGACAAAAAATAACTGAATATTGATATGCTGTCAGGGATTTTGTGGAGGATGTTAGCAGAGGCTCGCTCATGTAAAGTTTAAGTAAGACCATTTGGAGGAAACCTGCATGTGATTAGATGCATGTGAGTGCAATAAAGAGGGAGGATGGTGGAGCTGGATCAATAGGATTAAGCTGTTATTAAAAAGTATTTATGACAGCCTGAGTCACAGCTAGTCAGGATGAAGCGAGTTTGGTATTCCCAACTATAACAACCAAACATGGAAACTATAGTATATTAACTATGAAATATTACTCCTATGATATATGACAAGAACAAGAGAACAATAAATGATGAAGAAAAAACAGACGTCTGTAGTCTGACTTAATGTATTAATTTAAGATGAGGCATTTTTATTGGTAGAACAGCCATAAGGATACATAGAAATAATACAGTGGTGTAGACTATATCTATAACTGTATAATACATAGGGTTACATTTACACTGATGAGGGATAGGGCCTCTATAAATTAACATAACACCAACGTGTTGCTGCTGCACTTTTTCACTTTTGTTCTGCCCACTAGATCAGCTTTAAACATCTAACCCATATGAATGCACTAATTAAGGGCTTATACATTTATGTATCATATATTCAAATTCAAAAAAATATTTAGACATTTTATAATAATTTAAATTGTCACATAAATCAGTAAATAATGTTATACAATTATCTTCATATCAGCTCACATGCATTTTTGTATCTGACCTCTACATGCGTTACTTATCACTGCCTACAAAAGTCATTTCTTAACACATATCCAGTATATCTCCCTGGTTGAACAATTATTGCTTAAAATACAAATTACACTTTTTTATAATGGTACAACAGGCTTTTTTAAAGAATGACTATAGACTATGTACATTTTTGATACTCAACAGGGACACTGAAGACAACATTTGATTGGCATCTTCTTTGTTCAATTAAGGGAAATTAGAGGACAAGAGAATATGGGAGTACACAGTAAATGCATTTTCCCAAAAAAAAAAAATGGAAGTATATTCATAAAGCATACTTTGAAAAAGTTTCTCATTAGTGTATTTATCTACTCTATAGGCCTACTGCACGTTCACATATTTTAACTACATTTTAGCATTTAAAGTAGTCAGTTGTTTTTCACTGTGAACTACACGTTTTTTTCTTCTTAATATAGACTATTTTTTGCATCCAATAATGTTGTACTTCAAATGTTGGCAACTCTTATGCTTCAGCATCGTGCTAAGACTTTCCTTATTATTCCTCTGGTTTATAAAACCCATCAAAGTATAGGCCTACCTAAAACGTACATTATGTACAACCCAAAAATAACAGATTTCTGGTATTTTGGGGTCTTGATAAATGACATCTAATAATAATGACTTACATATTTCAATGCAATAACACAATCATATACATTGGTCCTGCCCTGTTGTTGGAAGGCATTTTCATTCTGCCACTTTGCCTCTTTGTTCCCCTCCTCCCGCCTCCTTATGGGGCTGCAGCTGCTGCAGGAATTCATCCAGGATCTGCTGGGCTGACACGGCGGTCACATCCACAACGTCCTGCTCCAAACGCGTTACCTTTACCCCTGCCTTCGCAGCCCAGCTGTCCCCACCCACATGGGCCGGCTGGAGGTTGGGAGGGGTGTCAGTGTGGTTGGTGCCCAAAGCAAGCTGCTGTTGGCTATGGGGATATTGAGGCTGTGGCCTGGCAGCATAACTGGCAGCCATTTTTTTATAGATAGCAGTGCTGATGTCAGCTACAGAGAAAGGTGGGCTGTGCCTGGACTCGTGCTGAGCAGAAACACTGCTTTCAGTTCCTGTTGTTGCCCCCCCCTGTTTAAAAGGTATGAAGGCTGTGAACCTCTTCGGAGCTGCCTCTGATTTCGTCAACCAATCATTGACTGCTTCCTCCACTTTAGGCGTGTGTGATTGGCACCCTGCCTGCAGGGAGGCGACAGGTTGGCTGATCGGAGCAGAAGTGGCCAGGAGCTTCTGTATGGCATCGGCTGAACCAAAGTGCTTCTCCAATAAATCCTTTATCAAGCACGGCACCTGAGAAACACAAACACAACTCTGTCAGAACTGAGTCAATGCAAAAAACTAAGTATAACACTAACACTTTGTAAATATGTGAGAGTTTTCTATAAAGGTTTCCTAATCTCTACCTCATTGGTTTTCAAACGAGTGTTTCCCCAATGGAGACATTCAGATGTGTTACTTACATGAGTAGATTTTCTTGCACACATTAGACTAGTGTTTATGAATGTAAGGCCCTCTCTAGACTTCCCCTTCCCTGATTGTGTTTTTTAGCAACACATGCATGTTAACCATGTGTAATGTAATGTACGCGCTTAACTAATATAATAACATTTTGAGGTACTTGTTGTACATACATTTTCAGTCTAGAATTTCTATTCCATCAATGAAGAGGATCATGAGCAAAACTGTGATCAGGACATCCCAACTTTTTACTGAACTCTTTCAATTTTCAGTTAATTCTCTGCAGGTCAGACCAGCATAGAATAGAGTCTCTATTTCCAGCACCCCATGACCCTATGGGCCCCTAGGTCTGTGCCTTGAAGGCATAGAAGTTCTCAGATTTTTCATAAAATCATATAATACTGAAGTGTTAAAAAAATATATGTCACAAGTAAAAGTCCGGCTTTACTATCTTATTTGTATTATTACTATTTTTTGCATGGGCTGATCATGCCAATTTATGCATGTAGTAAAAAGTTGTGGTGTTAACATGTGTCCAGTAGGCGGCACTGTGCTCACATTTATGTTCTCCAGGCCTGCGATGGTCCTGTGGGCATCCTCTAACTCTGAGCTAAGCTGTGACACTCGGGTCTGCAGGTACTTCCTCTCACTGGTCAGGCTCTCCGACTGCACACACACCAGGGCATTGAGTCAGGTTTACACGAAAGTATCTCTTCATTGTCAGTGCAGTGAAATAGGTACAAGATCAGATACGCTTTTATCGTTTTCCCCCAATCTTATTTTCATGCAAGTGTTCTCACCGCTATATGCAGGTGTTCCCCCAGCAGGTTGTTGGCCTGCTTGGTCCCAGTGTGGGTATCTAAAAGGCTGCAAGACCAATAGAAAGAAAAAGAAAGACAACCATTAAAAATACCTATTTTCAGTATTATTAATACACTCACCATTTTGTCACCAGGTCATTTCAAGTCTTTTACTAGTATGTCACACCTTCAGCTGTAGCAAAATGTGGCCGCAGATTACATTTGGATATCACTTTCTCATTTTACATTAACTTGCTTTCCATCCCTGACTCGGCCTACGTTGTGGACCGACTCCTTCAACATTTGCCAGTCTCTGTTCTGTTTTACTGTGTAGAGCAAGTCAGTCATACACTTGTTGTTTTTTAACATATGTAAACTGACTTGACTCTTATTTGAAGCTAGAGACAGTTGTTTTTCAGGCCAAGTGGCCACCACAGGTTCTTCTGCAAACAAGCAGCAGCTGACACCAAACTGGATCTCAGTGTGAGGGGACCATTCACTCCAGCTGCTCCGGTCTACTGAGGAATGTGTGGTGTGTGCATGTTGTGCCGCGGTGGCAGTTTGGTGAGATACAGGCTTGACAGGGTTCGGGTAGCAACAAGACTCTCACTGGTGAGTGCGAAGGGACATGACATATGCCCAGAGTCCCACTGTCTCTGTGGGCTGTGGAAAAGATGTCACTGCAGAACCACAACACTTGCTGATATGCACAGGGGAGAACGTATGTTCCATGGATCAATGAATCTAAAAAAAACTGTTATGTAAAGCCACAGGTTGGATTTATTGATTTTTGGTCGAAATGTTTGCACCATTTAACTCCCTTATAAAAGTTATACTGTCATGCAATGCAGCACAGTACATGTGAAATGTAATAGATCAACTCTTCAAAGTTTTTGTTTGTTATGCATTCTTTAATTTAAGACACATTGAAATTGTAACTGTAAGTTGATTACTTAAATATCAAATTGTATTTCATTATGTTTTAACTACTGTTTCATCTTTGTTCCTAATCGTAATTGTGGTTTGGCAACACATGACAAATGCTATGCCAAAAAAAGCCTCTTGAATTTAATTGAGATGTTGTATTTATTTGTGCATCGAAGTCATAGGGTATAAACAATGTAAATTCCATCATGCACGTTGATTTGTGTTCTGTTCATGATCCCAAACCTTTTATATTTCTCCTTGACGTGACCAAGCTCGTCTCTGGTCCTCTGCAGCTCTGCCTCCAGGCTCTCAATGCAAACCACAGTCTGCACCAAGTTCTGGTGAAGATCGGAATTCTCCTCTTGCAGCGCCCTGAACACAAATGAAGGAAAATGACTCTTGTAATTTGGTCTATTCATTATGCATGTTCATAAAGTATTACTTCATTTTGAACTAGCATAATTATCATATTTATAAAAAAGTCTTAGGCAAAATTCTATGTATACCTCATTTAAAAGGGAGTGGCCTCTCAAACAATCTACAATGATGCCTGTTTCAGAGGTTGTATGCCAGCTAGCACCATTTAGCTTTAAAGCTACTGAGACTTTTTATTCAGCACGTTAGCATGTTTTAAAGTAAAATTATTATTAATATCAATCCTAACAATTACAAAAACTCAAAGAAAACAATCTGTGTCGACTTTACAAACTACAAAATTATATGAGAGGAATAGACTAATAACATCAATGGACATTAACATTTTTGTTTTAAAATATGGGGGTAATAAATACTATTATTGGAACCAAAACAGTTTAAATGTTAAATGTCTTTTTTTATTTGGAGCGTTATTACAATGTCTAAACTCTCTTTAGTTTATCTATCATATATTCCTTTTTCTAACGACGTAGTGTTTTATAACTGCCCCTCCTCTTTCCCTTTAAAACAGGAGTGAAGGGAGAGAGGATGTTCATTAGTGTGATCAATAACCACTGACCCATCACAGGATCGACACAGAGAGAACAACATGAGACTGATAGAAAATGTTTAAAAAGTTGCACTCAAATATACAGTGAGTAGACAGGAAGTATAATAACACAAACTTACTGGAGATGGCCGGCATCACACAGTGTATCCTGGAAAAATAATGAAAGGTTGACAAAAAAGTAAATAATACTCAGTACAGGGGAGTTACTTTAAATACAGTGTAAACAGGAAGTGCAATGCCTAAGTATTTAGACAGTCTTGTTTGGCTAATTTAAATCAAAATTACATTTGCTTTGTCAAAACTGTAAAACTTGTGGCTCTTGATTGTAGATTAAAGAGTGAAATGGGCTATAAGTTATTCAGTGTTTCACCCAATATGAATTTGAACGCTCCCAACGCACCCTTGCTAAGCCAGAACTTCATATTCATAGTTTCATTTGAATTCCTGTTTGCTGGAGTAGAGCCAAAACAATGAAAAACATTTCACTTTCCAAATACAACATGCACTCATATTCAGGCATTAACTTTGGAAGAAAGCTATTTAGAGGGTATTGGGCAACAAATAACAAATGAGGTGATTCCCTAATTCTAAAGAGAAAATCAAGCAACCCTGGCAGTTTGGGAATATTTTCCAGGTTTAGTCTTAGGTGAGAAAAACATAGATGTATAGAGAACAATAAGTAGCAACTGTTTATTTTCTAAACACATTACAGGAGCTGGAGTCTGGCCTATGCAGGCCGTTTTTTAACAGCAGGACACACCCTGGATGGGAAACCAGTCCATTACTGAGGACGTGACAGAATAAACTATTGAGTTATCGCAGAAGTGTGCCAGGGAATGTACTCTCGTTGGAATCGATTAGCTCTTAGCCGTTCTCTATGTGTGTGGTTATTTATATGTACGTGTGAATTCACTGAACCATAACCTGATAAGACAAACTCAAATCCTATACAGGGACCACATGGAAAAAGGCAATGTTATCTAATGTTGTGTGTATGTGTGTGTGTGTGTGTGTGTGTGTGTGTGTGTGTGTGTGCGCGTGCGTGCGTGCGTGCGTGCGTGCGTGCGTGCGTGCGTGCGTGCGTGCGTGCGTGTGTGTGTTTGTCAGTACCAAAGACTGACAGCCTGAGCAGATTCTTACATAAGAGCAAAGTGAGACTCACTCTCATATTGTACATTGTGCTGGCAGCTAGTGTGAGGGAGATTTGTCTCATTGAAAGACAACATCATTGGTATTTATATATTGTACTTTACTGTATGGTGTTTTGATATTTGCCAAGTCTCTCTTCTAAAAGCGATTTTAGCTCTTAATGTGGCATCCTGGTAAAATAAGGGTAAACAGTTGATCCACAGAACATATAGTAGCTCAGGCCCAACATGGTAAACATTTACACTATTTAAATGAATGGTAACTCAGGTAGTTTCAAATGGAGTTTTCCCTAAAAGCACAGGACTAGTATCTGGTGCATTGCTGAAGAATGACTCAGCTTTCAGTGTGCAGTGTTTGACACGTCCCACACAGCCTGTGACTCAGCTACCGCCTGTGCAAGAGAGGAGCAACACTGCATTCATTACATTCATCCTGTTCTGTCTACTGTTTACTGCCTCATTGCAGTAAAAGGCTTTCAGAAGCTTGTTCATAGACACCTTTCGAATGTTAACTTAAATTATTCATCTTTCTATTTAAGGAGTCTGACTCAAATGTCACTTATAATGATGTATCTCCACTGTGCTCCTCAAAATTGTCAAATGGAAGCAGATACAGAGTCTTAATCAAACTTCTCTATATAAACATGTATACATGTGAACAATGTTTCCAATTATAATGTTACTTAACAGGTTTTTATTCATCAAACCTGCCCTTTAAAAGTGGTGAATGTCAGTAGATAGGCGTATAGAATGAAACTGTATAAAAAATATAATAAACACATAGTCTATGCATATAGAAATGTTTAACTATCTAAATTGTTTAAATAAAGCCTGAAAACAAAACAAAATGTCACTAGCCTTAATGGCCCACAATCTTTCAATTTCGTGTTTATAATTACAAACACAAGAAATGTATATCAACTTAATGAACCATGATGTTATGAACCAAAACATTCAAGTTTCTTGACTTTCTAAACTGATTCCAAGTATGTGCGCTGTCAAAAAGTTATCTTGCGTTGTAGTTTTGTACCCTATCAAAATAGCAAAAATGTGACGGAAATAAACTCACCCTGCGTGGAAGTGGTGGCCCCACATGCTGCTGTGGCTGGTGTCGTCCACTCAGTTCTGAGCTGTGGCTGGTAGCGGTGGAGGCCGTGTCTCTGCCCCTGGGAGAATCAGATTTTGAGGATGAAGACTCAGATCCATGAACTGGCCCCACACCCTGGCTGACGAGCCCTCTGTGCCCAAGGCCGGGATGAGGCTGATGCTGGGGGTACTGTTGGGTAGACTGACCGTCGGAGGTGGTGGGCTGTTGTTTGCGATGCTGGCGATGTTTGGGCTGGATGGATTCAGGGCTGGTGCTGGTGCCATCCGTGAGCTGAGGCCCACATCGACCATATCTGTCCCCTGACACAGAGCCCCCAGTGGGCGAGGGCCTCCTCTCTTTACGGCTGCTCTCGTGGTGAGAGTTTTGGCTTGGAGACCGGGGGTAAGGATGAGGCAGTGGGCTGCCATGGTGGCCCCTATCCCCATATGAGATCAGTTTTTCAGGATTGGAGCTATCCGAATGTTTCCGAGAGCTGCTGCGAGGGGCCTTCTCCGGCCTGTTGTTGTGCTGTTTCTGCTCCCTCACCTCCCCTAAACTCCCCCTGTGCTTCTTGGGTGGGAGCTGTGGCTTGACTGGTCCAGGTGATTGCGGTGGTGGGGCAGGCGTCTTCACGGTAGCTTTATCCTTGTTCACACCCAGGATATTGAGAGCCGACGGGCTTATGACCTGTTTTGTAATCTCATCTAGAAAAGCTGAGAATTGCAACTTTCCCTGCACAAAAGTTGACCTTGTCTGCACCACTTTCCTTTTCCCTTTCTGCCCAATGGGTTGTTTCGTAACTCTTGGTGACAGCACCTCCATCGACTTGGCCTTGCGGATGTCAGTATGGGGCTCCTTGTTTTTGAGGATGCCTTTGCTTGGTAGCTGACTGGAGGACACAGCTCTCTTAGGTCCCCTGGAGACCCCGAGCAGAAATTCCTCCTCGTTGACAGCCAGGCTTCGGTTCAAACTAACGGCCTTATGCAGAGGTCCATAGTTATTATGTGGTACCCTGGATTGTTCTCCTTCAAGATCACTTTCATTACCCTGCAGGAGGCCTTCTTCACTTCTGCTGTGGCCCCGATCAAGACAAGGAAAACCACGCGTGACCCTCTTATGTGCACTCCCATGTGTCTCACTACAAACACTGCCGTTATTTCTGTGTTTGATGGTGGCAAAGACAATGGGCTCACTGCCGTCGTCCTCCCGGAAACCTCTACGCACTTCTGAGATGTTGGAGCAGGACAGGGAGTGCTGTGGCTGCTCAGTATGACGAAGAGAGAATGGATCGTATGCATTTTCCTCTGTGTACCATGAGGAAAAAGAGGAGGAGGAAGAGGAAGAAGAGAGGGAAGAGGAGGAGGCCCTAGAGGGAGTTACAGGTGTTTTGTTGTTGTACAGTATCTCATCCACTTCGCTGTGGTGAAACTGCCGGTTTGGATGATGATGGTGGGAGTTATGAGGAGGATTGTCATGAAGATAGCGACCATGTTGATGGTGATAATGGTGCCCGTGGCTTTCATCCGTGTTTCTGTCTGTGTCGTCAACGTTTGCGTACCTGCGACACAAGGACACAGGGATTAGAGACAAAGCAGGTTTATTTATAAAACACATTTCAGCCACAATAGAATTCTAAGATCTTTACACAAAACACTAAGACACTTTTTGAAAGAAACACACCATAAGGTCATTTTAGGCTAAAGAGGAAATACATTTAAACTATTTAAAATAGAATAAGACATATTTAAAATACAATCATTAAAAGTTACTGTTTGGTGCAAGACAGGAAATAGTCATGTTTGATTTTAAAAAGGCATGGGCATAGAGATGTCTTTAGCCTTGTTTTGAAAGAGTTAAGAGGTGCAGCCGACCTGTCGTTTTCTGTGAGTTTATTCCAGATATATGGCGCGTAAAACTGAATGCTGCTTCTCAGTGTTTAGTTTTTACTCCATGTCCCAGACAACCTGAAAGGTGTGGATGGTTCTTAATAGATGATCATACATGTATACTTTGCTCCAAACCATTCAGTGCCAATCATTTCTCTGCATAAATTCTCATGACCTATGAAAATAACCCGCCTATCTGTATTATGAGGTTGCACACTTTTAACTTTTGCCAGAATCTATATATTGGATTCCAAAATGTGGCTTTTGCTCTATAAAGGCAAACTTCAGGGTGTTTGTAATTGTATTTCCAAAAAGTCTTCCATTTGACAAATAGAAATCTTACCTGTGTGACTGCGGGTCGTGGTGATGGGGGAGATGGTGGTGGTGGTGATGCCTCCGTGCCTTGATCTCGTCAGGGCCAGAGGGGCTGTGAACAGGCTTAAAAAACGTATCCATGTTCTGTCTCTTTTTCTATATGTTGTCACTGACGGTGATCCTTGTTGGCAATCAGCTGTTTCTTCTTGCTTTAAAGAAAAATATTTTTGTCAATGAAGTTACAACTTTTGTCAGCTGCAGAGATCATCCCTCCAGACCAGACAACAATCCAATGTTGTTTCCAATCATAAGAGTAGGTAGAGCACGGGTCCACTGCACATTGTGAAAAATAAATAATGTGCTTAACTTGCTAGCTCAGTAATCAGTAGTATCCAGCTGCCAGATTGTTTGTATGAATAAGGTCGTCTCCCTCAGCGGCTGAATGCAGAATAATGAAAATCCAGCTTGTGAGCAGGAATGTATGAAATTCTGGATGGTGGCTTGATTTTGCATCACGCCTGATGTAACAGCTAGGCGCTCATTGAACCAGCTGAAAGGGCGAGACCTTGTCCTCATACAGGAGACAATCGATCGGGCCCTCGCACAGGATCCATAACGGTTAATCGACCCCACTGATATAACTTGCAAGTTATGCAAGTGTTGTTTGCACAAATTTCATTTTATTTCAATCTTTATTTCGAGATTTAAAAAACTAATAAAAAATGTGAAAAACAGAATACCGTATTGTTAAAATACAATATTTATCAATATTCATAATAATATTTATATATTCAACACACATATTAATAATTATATTTATATATTCAACACAAATTTTCATATTAATATGTATATATATTCAACAAAAATATTAATAATAATAATAATAATGAATCATATTAGTCCGAAAGGGAGCAGGAGGAATTTTAATTCCCACCCCATACTTACTGCTGATCAATGATTATCCTTTAAATCATTTCTGCAAGTTATTCCTACTTACATATTTACATTTATACATACATTTACAATAATTTCTCATCTTAAATCACCTTTCTTCATTCTTATAGTTTTCCCAAAAAGTGTTTCTGTACATCCTTTTAAACTGAATTATATTTGTGCTTTGTTTTAACTCCTGCTCCAAACCATTCCATAAAATCACCCCACAGATTGTCGTGCACATACTTCTCAGAGTTGTTCTGACCTTGAGTTGTTTGAAATGTAGATTTGCTCTCAAATTATACCCACACTCTCTGTCTATGAACAATGTTTGTAATTTCCTAGGAAGTAGANTGGAAATGACTCTCTGCACACGGCCCGCTAACGTGTGTGCGTGTGTGTGTCACCACTGCTCTTAAGACACACACACACACACACAGACACACACACGCACACACACACACGCACACACGTTAGCGGGCCGTGTGCAGAGAGTCATTTCCAGGGTCTGCAGAATTATCTTTGTATGCTCAGGAATATGGCAGGGTAACAGCCTTTAAGTTAACCACACAGTAAGCATAATTGTTCTTCATCTGTCATCTCAAACAGAGCTGTGGACCGTTTGAGTCCCAGAGAGAGAAAGAGAGAGAGAGAGAGATTACTGACGGGACAGTGATGAAAATTGCTCAGAGGATAATGAGTCTCGTTGTCTTTTCATCCTTTCATCCTCAGACTCTCCCTCTCTGTCATTACGCAGAGTGACTGGTCGGAGTAGCTTCACAGTCTGTTGCTTATTCAAAAACCCAGAGCGTCTTTAGATGAGTTCATCAGGCTTCCCATCTCTCTTTTTCTCCTCCATATCTCCATCCTCCTGTCGGCTCGGCATCCTCTCAGCCCCATGCACCTTTTTCTCCTCCCCCTCTCTCAGTTTGAACTCCTACCTCCTTCCTCTCTCCGTCTCTTTATCCCTCCCTCCTCCATCTGTTTATTTTTTTGCACCATACTGTAGAGTAGAGAGGGACGAGGAGGAGGAAGAAGGCCCGGACAGAGAAGGAATCAAAGAGCTCAGAAGCGGAAAAGACAATTCCTTTGTGACAGATGAAGCTTTTATAAAACAAGAGGGGCTTTCTCCCAATTTCCTGTTGATCCACTTTGTAGTTTATTCCCCCCTCAACAGCCCCTCCTCCCCTTTGTCCCAACACGACACCCCCCTCCTCCCTGTGCGTCTGCACCATCGTGGCAGATAGTGTGGTATCAATAAAGAAGGTTGTTGGCAGATGAAAGTCGCGGGGCGGGACAATGGCTCGCTAAGCGCTCAATTCACTTCACACAAATCACTGGGGCTACGTCCTGCAACAAACAATTAAAAACTCATACAGATGCGCAGAGGGGAGAAGCTTGATGGCGTTTGCATAAACACACATATGGTGAGTTCTGACAGCAGACAGGGAGCCAGGGTGGAGAGGAATTGGACAGCTTTGAGACAAAAATGATATGAAGAGAAAAAGGGAGGGAAAGGGGGAGGATAGGTTATTGTTGTTTAAAATGAACAGGTGCTGAGGCTGTGCAAAAGAAGAAGCAAAGCTAAACAAGTGAAACATTTTACAATAATATTGCTGGCAGGGAATGTTTTTAGGTGCTTTACTCAAATTAGGAACTTAATGCCCTATTGGCATTAAGTGCTAACATTACCCGGGGTCCTTGTGACTTAGAAATTAGCCCATCTGTCTTTGTTTCATACCCTTATTCACACCGATAAGCAAGGTGTGTTTTTTTACAGTCACAATGATACCAATCCAATGAGATTTGATTGCCTGGCTCATAAGCAAAAATAAAAGTTTTGGTTTCGAGGCCTGCATTAGCGTTTCTCCTGCTGGTCAAAACCGCAAACTCCTAGTCGGCCAGGACTCTACTTTGTGAGGAGGTCAAAGATTGCTTATCGCTTTTTCCTCTCTAGACATTTGTGAAAAAAGACATTACATTCAAGGAGCAAAGATTCACGATACGAAGAGACATTATCAACCTTAGTTGCAGGTCAAGGTGTCTCTCAGTGTTACAGGCATCTCTTTTTTAGTTGTGGCCGTTGGAGAAAATGTTCTCAGGGAAAAGAGAACAAGATCGGAAAGAGCAGACGGCGCCATATCCAGTTCTTATAGTACATCCCTGATTTTACTCAAATTGACTGACATTATCCCCCTGATGATGTGAATGGCTCTGCGTAACATCCGCCTCCTGAATGACAAGAGCAAGCCAGCTATATGCCTTCCAAACCTGTTGAGCTTGAAGAAAGACGCCATGCGTGTTATCCATCTCATCTGCCAATGAGATGGATTTTGCTATTATGATGGATTTGAGCTTGCTTTTTATGCAAATGGGTCTCCATGCTGTGCAGCGAGATGAGCATCCTGATTTCCCCCAAAATGCTGTCATAACGTTCATTTATGATTGCCAATCTAATCTCCATAAATCTTGACCGGGAAAGAGGAAGAGAGAAGGCACGGAGAGAAAAAGAAACCATGCACGAAAACCATATGATGCTGGCAAGCCCTACTGATGCTACAACTGCCAATATATACATGACCTTTATATATCGTGTATTTTTATCTGAAAGATTATTATCTTTCAGATGCAGATATGTAGATAAATATTACAGACAGGGGTTACATAATTAAAACGCAGTAAAATCTCTGGAATTGGGTTAGAGGTATAAACTAAATGGAAGTTGAATTACTGAAGAAACCAACAACAACCTCAGTATATTACCTGAATACATTTACTTAGTTACTTTCCTCCACTGCTGCCTGATAAACAAATCCACTTTTACCGTCTCTTCCACATTGAGATGCGAGAAAACTAAATGAGAAACATTCATGCAAAATGTTCCCTCGTGAAGCCACAGCTCACTGGCTCATATCGCATCCCGAGACATAATCAATTCAAACACAACAGAAGCCTGTGTGATTCTTTTTAATAAGCTTTTGCTATTGTCTTACACACACACACACACACACACACACACACACACACACACACACACACACACACACACACACACACACACACACACACACACACACACACAGTTATCTCTCTCTCTCTCTCTCTCTCACACACACACACAC